TGCTTAACAACAACTAAATTATGGAACACTGCCAAGACAAGCAATCTGACAAAATGTAAGGACTGATTCAATACTTGGGTTAAAGGAGAGGTGTCATGGCCATTTCCACTGATCATAATTCCATTGTTGAGGTATACTAAAATAGATTTATATTGTGCATTTTTCCAAACTCACATTGGTTTCTCATACAGCATCTCTGTAAACTACGTGTATTCACTGAATTTCACTCTCTGCCTTTAACGGCTCGTTGTAGCTCCAAAAGCTCCAGCCCCCACCCTCCCTGTGAGCACAGTGTACTCTGATTGGTCGGGACGTTGTGAATCGCGCTGAGCTCCGTGGAGGTGTTGTTTCCTTGTTAGCGATACATAGCGAAACACAGCCAAACTCATCCTGAGCACACACAAAGTCACAGCCAAAGTAAAAACAATAAGTGTGGCTTGATATTGAGTAAGAAAAAGGTTGATAAACGCTGTGAGAATGGGTCTGCAGAGAGAATTTCGCCACGATCCCAACTGTCTGTTATCAGCCTGCAGCCAGGGAGGAGAAATCAGCAGAGCTGCCTGTGTGTGAGGAAGTCCGTGGATTGGTCAATTTGGACCAATCAGCGGGGGCTTAACGTAACGGCTCCGCCGATGTAACGTAACGGCTCCACGGATTGGTCCATTACGTTCCGGGTACGGCATGACATCATGCCGTACCCGGAAGAATCAAATGGACAATGACGTATCTCCAACGAGGCGTTTTGGGGAGGTATTTTCTGTGTTAGAGTTTTACTCGCTATAGGGTGTACTTTGAGGGTTGTGACTCTGCAGACCGTTGACATGCATAAAAACCTTCATAACACACAAGGGGACGGGTAATAACCGGAAAAGCATGACACCTCTCCTTTAAATCATAATTATTGGACACCTTAAAATAAACTGTGACTTCATAAATCCAAATTATGATATACTAGTAATAATAAGGAGAAGGTTAATAAAAAGTTTGACTAACTATGTCAAAATTACAAAACAATATAAGGCAGTATGCAACCAATAGCCACTTCGATATTGGACCTGTAGTGAAATGAGAGTTATATAAGAGTTTAAAAGTATTATTGGCAAACATAATCTTTTGTTACATAACATAAATACATATTTTTGGCAGGACATTTTAAAGATGAAAAACAACTTCTCAATGTTTAGGCTGACATATGAGTATGTTAAGTCATTATTGTCCGAAATTGAGTCAAAGTGCCCTCTGTCCTCAACATCATTAGATAATAAGATACATTAATAAAAAAGTATTATATTCCTATAACAATGATTATTATGATGATATCAATTATGGTCAGTAAAAATTGTTACTTTGTATTCAAAGTTATCGCATAGTATCCCAATATTCACAAAATGTTGCTATGGCTAACTGTCATATTTATCCAAGTATCTCTATTTATCAAAATGATGACAAATGATGAGTTCAAGGTAGGGTAGGTAAGAATGGAGAAACCAGCTCGAGTGCGCTAGAATTTGAAAGTACGCAGCCGAAGAAAATCGGCCCCTTCCTTCAGACTTCCTTACAGAGCCCCTCCTCCAACACACACAAACGCGCACATGACCAATGAGGGCACAAGATAAGTTTGTGCACGAGATGGAAGGCTGACAGGCAGGTAGGCCATCCAGTTATTTTAGCCGGCTCAGATGATTGGTCGTGCTTTTTACAGCGCCACGGCTTCCACAGATGACATTTTTTTATGTATTTATTGTCAAAGCATTTAATATATTCATTGCTATCGGGATGTTAAGAGCATTCCATGGAATATAACAACAAGTGTTTCTGAAGTGAATTACCTACCTCACCTTTAATATATAAAACATTTGTGATATAAGACACTTGGATGCTCTCTCAGAGACACGAAGAATTGCATAATTGAAGGTTTATCCCCGCCACCGTGTCCACTGGAGTATGAGAAAAATAAAGACCTTTTTGAAAGCAAATACAAATATGAATTAAAGGGGCCCTTTTATGTTCATTTTCAGGTTACTATACCTAAGTAAGTCATAGATTTGACTTAACAAGAGTACGTACGTCATTACTAACATCTACCTATAAACCACCCTAACAAAGCTCATCAGGGACCCTCACCTCAAAGATCACTCCAGACCTTGTTTAAAAAATACACAATTTCAATATCATAGACTATCTTGCTTCCCTTTCCATTGTATGTGTAATATAATGTACTATTGTAGGCCATGGGGCAGAGCATAGCAGAGAACAAGCATAGAACAAGTGTGTCAATCCTGTGGATCACAACCCTATGACGGGATCTAGCAGCGACATGTTGATACTGGTCGTGTGTATGAAACTTCTTGGCTAGTACAGAACAGAGTCACAGGAAGTGAGGCAAATATACAAGCCAGGGCTGGAGGATTGGAAACACATGCTGACTGCATCATGAGTAATAATAATGGAATTAAAAGAACTACAGTGCCAAAACTGAAGCAGTCAGGCCAACAGCTAATACACTAAAAACATATGGTTGTTCTTCAGGACTCTGATCTACACCCTATATGTACATTGGGTGTGGATATCATCAAGTGTTTGATCTGACTGTGAGCATGATCAAAATGACAAAGCAAGGGTTAGGGTAAGGCATTTTTTGATCAGGGTTAGGTGTTGAAACTCAATATCTTTTTTGGTAACCAACAAAATATAGTATGAAAAACAGTCTAGTATTAAAAGGTGCCACTGAATATGATCTTCTTGTTGCTCACACAATTTCAAAATAAAACTAAAATGTCTCAAACAATTTCACAGTTTTAGCCCGGATGGTGCAGGTGGGTAAATACATTTAGTTAGCCCCAGGCATCAAAACAGATTTGATCCGACACCGTGTTTTTGGTTTTGTCAACAGTCTTAACTCTTAAGATGTTCATTTTATACTTATATAAATATACAAAAATAAACATTCTCACAATGTAAGCTAAGAATATGTTGCCAGTTTTGCTGGTTAAATAACTTTAATTAATTTTCAAAATATTTGTGACAGACAAACAACACTGACTGACCAATCTGTGATTTATATAAAAAGACACATTGGTGATGTCTCTACCAACAGGGCAAAGCTAGAAAATAGCCCCAGGGACCCAAAAAGCTAACATCTCAAGTGTTAGTTGTACTTGATTTGAATTGCAATTCAAGATTTGTGTTATCGTTTAACTATCAAAACAATTAAATAAATAGAAATGATGAAAACTGGGTGAGAATAATGCTCCATAGCAGTAAAATACAGTAGGTTTTCAGGGAAGTAGCTCGGTCTGTGGGGACTTGGCTTGGGAACCGAAGGATCATGGGTTCAAGTCCCAATAGGACCAAAAAAAGCAGTGTGATACTGATAGCTGGAGAGGAGCCAGTCCTTGAGCAAGGCACTGAACCCCCACCCACAAAAAGAAACTGCTCCTTGGCACTGGGAAAAATGTACATCTCTCCATAAAAATGCATGTTTGTGCATATCTGTATTTAGACCTAATGTGTGCATATTTGTGTATATAACAGAGTGAAAAACTGAGTTTCCCCTGGGGGGTAAGTAAAGGCTCATCATCTTCTTCTTCTTCTTCTTCTTCTTCTTCTTCTTCTTCTTCTTCTTCTTCTTCTTCTTCTTCTTCTTCTTCTTCTTCTTCTTCTTCTTCTTCTTCTTCTTCTTCTTCTTCAGTACGGGGGAGGAATATGAACCCCAGCCCCCCCCCCCTAACCAGTTATTCTGGGAATGGTGACTAGTCAGAAACATTGGATCAGTTGTGGGATGGCACTGAAGGGGAGGTTTTAATTTATGATCTCATTGTTCTAAGACGGTGTGGATGACCACATCCTTTCCCCACCTGACACTAGATTAAAAAAAAACACTTTTTCCTACAAGCAGTGGGGGAAAGTAACTAAGTACATTTACTCAAGTACTGTACTATTTTGTCAAACTTCTACTTTATTTCCATTTGAGCTTCTTTATACTTCTACTCCACTACATTTTGGAAGCATTTATTCTACTTCTTAGTGCCCTACTTTTATTTAACCAGTAGTTACCAGCGACTGTTTACATATGAAAACACATGACATCTTTATATGACATAATGCAGTACAGTACTATATACTACAAAAATTATCAAATTGTCTTAATATTAACAAACGACAAAATGTAACTGCTCTTACATGTATTTATAAGCAATTAAAATAAAGAATAATTTCATATTCCATAATAATATATTACTTTCAAAACAGCCATGGTACATAATAATTTACTTTTGATACTTTAAGTACAATTAGCTGGTAATACTTCTACACTTCTACTTAGGTAACATCTTGAATTCAGGACTTTCACTTGTAATGAAGTATTTCTACTTTACTGAAATAAAGGATTTCTCCCACCACTGTATTCAGCATGAAGGGTTGCCATAGTCAGGATCCTTCCCACATGGCAACAACTAAATAGACTCAGTATTTATTTATTTAAAAAACAGATGCGGAAGTAATGGGGCGTGCCATCCGAAGGTGTGTCGCCATATTTAGATGTTAATAAAGCATCAGGCTGCATTAAAACCTTATTTAAAAAAAACCTTCTTAGCACATTGTGTGGCAAAAGCCACCGCTTGTCTGGCATTTTTATACTAAACCATGCAGCGGCACGCAGTCCACACGTGAACAGCCCTTAAAAAACGTGTTTTTTTATGAAAAGCTTAAACTGTTATGGATGTTTGCTTCCGCCCCTTAGTGTAAACAGTGGCGGGTGGTAATAATGATGGAATAACAAGCAAAACTGAAAAAAACATGTAGATTTGCACTTTTGAAAACTGATCAACTGGGTATATATCCTTCAAATGCCATGTTGTTCTGTGGCGTATATTACTTGGAAATTGTACTATTTTGGCAGTATGGCATCACTTTCTCTCCCCATAAACGGCATGCCAAGGGTTTCCTTTTGTTATAAAAGGCAACACATATTAACTATTTAAGCTAGAAGTGTTACTTACCATTTCTTTGTGCATTCTATCGTCAGCTCTTGAAATGAAGCAGCAAACTGGAACTTGGATGCTCTCTTTCCAACCCGCTGAAGCCGCTTCCACACCGAAGTCATGGTGAGGTTTGTCAAATTACCTCTCAAAGACACGAAGAACTGCTAATATTTCAAGGTTTATCCTCGCCACCGTGTCCCTCCGCCGGGACCTGAACGGGGGTACCAGAGAGAGAAAGTCCACCTGCTCCGCTGACAGCTCCTCCGCAGCGGTGTGTGCCCGCTCCTCACCGGCTCCGCTGCACAGGCTACAAAACAAACACACCCCTCCAGCTAGCATCAAGCTAAACAAGATGAAGCGGAAATGACAGGTTTATGACTTTCAAAATAAAGGCCCTGTTGAATGCAGGTCGTCGGAGCTGCGATATTACCTATGACGCAGCAAAAAAAATCTGGATTTGTTTTTATGTCCAAACACAAAGATGGTGTTTCAAAGGTTTCCCCACACTGCCAAAAATACAATTCCAAGAAATAAAAGCCTTTATTATTTAGTTGGACTTTAAGAAGTCACATTTAGTGAGGCCGGGGGCAACATATAAAATACTGTTAAATTTACTTAACATACTAGGCTATTGTATATTTTCAATTTCTTTTAAAAGGTTAATAGAAAGCAAATCATCTTCACTGAGATGGAAAATGAAACCCGATCTGCTTCCACAGTCACTAGCTGTCCACTTTTCAACGTTGAGTTGATACCAGACCTCAACTATGGCTAGTTTAACATACAAATCTTATGAGATAAAACTATATATTTCAATGACTAGTTACAAAAACTTGATTCTGAGTAAAGAGTTCCTTTTTTAAATTGTGGAATGTATTCTCCCCCCAGGGCAATACAATACAGAGATACAGAGGACAGGATTTCAATGTCCTCGATCTAATCAACTACACATGACCAAGTCAGCAAGTCAAATGCTCCTTTTTTATAATATAATTATTATATATTTTTTTCTTATTTGCAAAGAGCAGGACATTTGAAAATAATCTAATCAGCCAATGTGTGCAAGCACTTTATCTCTGTTGAAAATAAAACTGATGTAGGAAAACCTTTAACTCGAGTTTGTATTATTATTTAATTTGATTTAATCTAATTTAAAATGGCATTCTTTTCACCCCATACTTCCTGTTACGCTAGTGTTAATCATTGCTGACTTGACAGCGCCAAGATGGTTATTGGGCAATTAACTCACTAAACTTTACAAGTCACATTATGACCTTATTCTGCAGGATTATCTGATAACAACAATGGAATGGTGGTAATACAAAACATAATGACAGTCATTTTTCCATATAAAAGGATACAACAGAAATAACAATGATTGGAGATAATATAATTATTTTTTGTAAGGTTACTTACTGATTTTTCATCCTGACCAAGTAACAGACATAATTAGCTTTAATTACAAATGAATAATAGATGCAAACAATTCTCCCTGCAGGAATCAGACTCCAGCAGATGACTTAAAAAGCGCACTGTAACGTGTAACTGATGCAGGACTCTATGTAAACAGTCTGAGAAGAGCCAAACAGTGATTAGTGAGTTCCCAAGAAGCTGTGTTGAAGGATATTATCAAGGCCTGACTGCAAAACACAAATTACATGCGTTAGTGTGTCAGGGAAAGTTTCCCTGTGTCATGAGTCCCCCTCAGCTGGGGGGACTTTTCCAGTTTAGCACCGGGTCTAAATATAATCTGTCGCTTCTGAGACATAGAGCAGCTGGGAATATAATGTCACACAAACACACAACAGAAATAAACACCCTGTTCACACCATAGACTGTATATATAAGGGTTCACACCCAGAATGAAACAACTTTGAATCTCATATCAAGCATTGATGTTATTTCATACAGCATATTTATGTAGTATCTATAAATACAAGCGTATTTAAAGGATTAGAGGACTTCCTCTTATGCAAATGATCGTATACTTCTGCATACTCTGACCCGGTTGCTGCTATAAAAGCCTGACTTTCCTCACAGGGATAAAGAAAGTTCAATTTGATCTTATCTTATAAGGAAAATGCTTGATTTAAGTTTCAAAATGTCACATTAGACATTTAAACCATTGTAAGGATACAAAATTATAGATTGGCACAATTCTAAAATCTTTAATTACTCACCTTAATACCTAGGACACTGGTCACTTCTATAATAAGAGCCATTTTGGTTATTTCTAGTACACAAGTGTAATCAGTTTCAGTACGTCATTGCAGAATTTTATTTCACAGGTTGTTGTTTTAATATGTTAAGCTACTGCATATAAAGCTGCGATCATTTTCTATTTTGAAGGATAAGAGTTTGTGCTGACGCAGTATTTTTGGGTCTAGGAACTGGGTCAGTCTCTGAATGTGTTTATATCCAATTCCAAACATTCAATACAATAAAGGGAGGAATGTTTACGTTAGTCTTTGTAATCATGCATCACAGAAATATGACTTTTGTTTTGGAGTTGCATGAGGAAGCTGCCCTACTTTTCTCTCTATACATTGTGATAGTACCACATAATACAATCATCATTCATTTCCATAGCAACTTATTCAACTACACTGTATGCATTTCTAGCCACATGACATACCTTGTCTGGGGTCTACAATAAATGAATGAATGAATGATGTTGAATTATGGCTCCTTTTAATCAAATAAACTCATCAAAGAAATAGTGTTCCTTGTCCAATGTACAATGAACGCTTTGTGCGTAATCAAAAGAATGTTGAACTGAATTTGAAAAAATAGTCATATGTTACCCTAAATGAAGTTAGAGCCTGGGGTCTTGCTGCATTCTCCCCTGTCTGAGGGAGGGTTGGGGGAAGCGGGATTGGTCAGAGTTTGGAAATACTTCTGAACAAGAATTCAATGACGTATTGCCAACTAGCTTGTTGGAATCAGTTCTTTTCAAAACATGTTGTGTTTACCCCCAGGCTAAGTTCATTTGGGCAAATGTAAGCACACCCATCATCACACTCTGACGCGGGGCAAATCAAGCTGAGATTGCCCAGAGAGGATGGCTGTCCTCCACTTAAATTCTAGAGTGGTTTGTTTACAGTCAGAATGCAATCGACCTCCATGTTTTAATCCGAAACAAGTTGTTTGTCCATTGCCTGTAAATTAGTCATCTGTGTAAATGTGTATTTTGCAAATACATCCGGCTGCATGATATTTCATCCTATGTCCGAATTTTTTTAATCCTGCAGTATGTGTGCATGAGAGATTTGGTATGTGTGAGGTTATGGTAACGTCCATGTTGCAATAAACCAAAAATATTGCAGTTTAGGTTGATAAGAAGGTTAATAAAAAAAGTGATCCTTAATTGCAGGCCTCTGGTGATCTGCATGAAATATTTACACATTACAGACAGAATCATCCAATATTTTTATTACGTAATTCTTAGGAATGCTGGGCAGAGCACACCATTATTTTTAAAGACAAATACTTTGGCCAAAGGTAGCAAACACATAGTAAATCAAATCGGGCTAAGTATCAAGCCTTGTGGAACCCCACATGAGATGAAACCAGAGGAAGAAGATAGAACAGCATGTTCTGTGTTATCACTGATTCCATACTGTAGATGGACAAGATTGGACCATATTGGTTATAAAGACATTCTTTCACATGGTTTGATTCCAGTACATGCTGTCCCAGTATCCATCTGTTGCTAAGTGATTTATCTGGCTCCTGCGCTAGCCATTGGTGTTTTCCGTTATGTGACTGAATCTCCCAGTCAGAGACTGTCCGTCCTCCTTGTCTCTCAGCAGTTTACTGTACAGACATGCTGGGAAACAGCTGCATTTGGGCGAGTAAAAATAAAGCAAGAAAGAAGGAAGAGCAGAGGGGAGTCTCCTCATGTGGGAATAGCAGTTTTTCAAACTTGGCGTTCTGCCAAAGCTCCATCATGGGGAGGTTATGGTTGTCTGAGAAACTATTCTGGGAATTGCATTTCCTGTATCCTGTGTTTCAGTGACAGGTTTAATTTGGTAATGATGTATTGTGTCACATTAAACAGCAGTTGACCCTCCATATATAAACCTATACTGTAAGTGCTTAAAGAATGTTAACTTTTAAAGGACTACAAAACAGCCCTGTTTTTTAGTTTGATTAAATATAAAAGATCAGTTCAGGGTTCATGAGTGGTGGAGGGGGCCATGGTGGCAACTATTAAGTGTAGTTATTCCGAAACAATCCACTTCCTGTCTGTAGGCAAGCCACGAGTTGGTGTTCATCCTGTTTTGGATTCCAAGCCATTGCAATGAAATTGAGTGTACACTTTGACCAATATAGTACAATGCCAATATTGACTTTTGGTTTTCTTTTGACACAAGCTCAATGAAACACTTAAAAAAAATAACGAGCTTACATTATTTATTTCTAGTTATGAGTGAATACGTGGGTGAGATCTCAATGGTGGAGTAATCAGATCCCTGCTTGTATCATGCCCCACAGATCCATCTATGACCTTTGTAAAAATAGCCTTGCTAAGCCAAACACCTGTGAGCTGTCAGTCAGAAGCACAGAGAGGGCGACAGGCAGCAAAAGCATGCACCCCACTTTTAATAAGGTCACTGAATAGTGTGCTGTCCCTGCAGCCGTGATGCAACCATACAGTCACATGTATGACCTTTGAGCAGACTTCTACACACCATGATACTACGTATATCATATGTCGTTAAACCACATTATATATTTTAATGATTTTCTTTTCATATACCGTGGTCCTGGAATAGAATATTGTTCTACGTTATACTTCCTTGCAGTTATAAAGTATTTGTGGTGATACCGTATGAATGTTTTGGGCAGTTATTACAGCATTTTATAATGGTTGCTATGCCGTTTCTATGGGGTTCAGGACAGTTTATAAAATGGTACTGAATGGTTGCTAAGTTTAATGTTAATTTATTGTTAATGTACAGTTTTTTCTACAATTTAAATGTAATTCTGAAAATGTTTTGTCTTACCATAGAACACTGTTGAAGCTTTTAGGTGTCTGGAAAAATGCAGTTGCTAGCAAGTGGCTAAATGACAATGCTAAACAGTTAACACTGGTTTGCCTTTAACTAACTGGTGGTGATGTGAGCTATGCAACAGTGAAGTACAGTATAGTTTATTGTTAATAGCTTAACGTTAGCTTTTTACATTTGAATTACGGCTCAATAATCATAAAAGTGTGATTCATTTCTGAAGATATTTTTCATTGAAACTAAATATTTAAGTATCATTAACATTTGTATGCCACAGATTTTTGTGCTATGATTAAAC